ATACATATATTTATATGTATGTATTTGTATATCTGTGTTTTAACAGCATCTATCAGCGCTGCATACTTTTGGATCGACGATTCGAAAAAGTCCAAAAGTGTATGTACTGCGCATGACTGGACTACACAGGCAAAGCTCCACGGTGTGTTATTCATTTGCATCTACTAGGCCAAAGAATATAGGCTATGCCTACGTGTTTGCAAAACTGGATAACCTGAAGAAAAAAAAAGATTTAAAATGTATGGCTCGCATGACTCGCACTTTGGCACTACTCTGTCCCGTTACCTAACGATTCACCATTGTATGTTTCTATTTATTTTTTTTAATTTATTTTTTATTTATTTATTTTTTTCTCCTTTTGACTGTTACATATATGAGTACTGTACAATCACATTGTGTGAGTAATATGCAGAGTAATAGAAGATGATAGGGTATGTCACCTGCATCTACCGTGTTTAAATATGTATTTACGACCATCAACAGGAGCCATATTCTTAAAATTGTTTTCACCTCAGCCACAAGCGTGGTGTGTCCGAGGTAGTGTGTACTCTGTTTTTTCCCCCCAAAACCTTGGCAGGTCTGAATATTTATTTTTATATCTACTCAATCAAGAATTTTTTCTGGCGGTGTGTATGCACAAGCTCATTATGTAGGCTTAATTCTGGATAACTGTATTGTATATATCTTTTCATTAAATCATGGCATAAATGTGTATCTTCTTGAGATCCCATCTTCTTGTTAAATGCTTCCTAAGGGCGTATCATATTGATCTCTTGTTAGTGTGGTGCAATAAGAACTAGTGCTGTTGAACTATGCATGTGCTAAAGAGTGTGAAGTTAGTTGATTGAAAATTTATAGCCAAACAGACGCTTAAATACCGTAAATACATATTTTAAAAATTAGCATAAAGATATTATCTTAATAATTTTATCTTTGTCTCAAGGATGTTTGATAACTTATTTAAATCAGCAAATGTTTATGTCTACATTCAGTTCTAACAATTTTCTGATTTCACAAGATAGCTCAACAGGTATGCTACTGTGCAAGGCTTTAGAGCTTTAAAAGATGTCATTAGAACACAAAAACAAAGATTCATTCTTTGAAACTGATTCTGTCAATTTATTCATCAACTTACTTTAACTTACATATTTTATATAGTGTTTGAAAAATTTCATAATATACTGTACACATTTTCAGACCTGATGAAAAATACCAATTTTTCTAGGGTATTGGCATGGCTTACTGATCTAGCCGGAGCTACAAGCATGTTTACAGGACCTCATGCAAGTGAAAACCTGTTCCACAGGTCTACAGTATTGAGGGGATTTTTGTTTATTCTCATCTTTTAATCTCTTGAAAAAAAACAAAGGAAAGCAATTAAGAAAAGTGTCTTTTGGCAGCCATTAACATCAACCACCACACACTTTCATTAGTTTTAATACATACTATTACTCCCGTAAGATGATATACAATATCCAAGCAATGTAATTTTTTATACAGTAAATCATCAACTGTAATCTTTTGTGTTTCAGGGCACATGTAGGCTCATCTCCAAGTCATGAAATTTATTACTCTCTTCTCTAAACTGTAATCTTGGTTTACAGTATTATCAGACATGTTTCATTCGCCTATATTTTAAGCTCACTGTTGATGTAAATATTTTTGATGTATAATAAGTTTCTAGTAAAGATATACATTCTGTGATGAGGTAAAACATTTGAAAATAAAATCAATATATGCTCACAATGTACAGTGTTCAAATGAATACTGTATTAGAATGAGGAAAACATTTTCCTCTCCAAATGATATACTGTATGCATAATAACTCTCTTATTCTTTTCATAGACCCGTAAATTGGTAATCAATTTGATAATTTTTTTTTTTGTAGTTCTGTAAATCATTGAAAAATTCTTTGTTATATGTGAGTCATCAAAACTTATTGATCTTTTCAAACGAGTTATTCAATATTTTCATAAATATTTTTTAATGTACTGTATTTTAAGAGGCCATGTTGTGCCGCTCAAAACATAGGGAAATCAAATGTGGATGTCATGTGATGGCTCTAAACCAATCATCAAGGTGAATGGTAAAATCAATTCTGTTTTTAAAACAGAGTGGTCACATATTACATATTAAAGCTGCAGTCACAAATTTCCAAGAATTGGGAGAATTACACCCCTCCCAGATATATTTAAATTGCCTTCATTCAACTATAAAGTAAAACTTCATTTTTGATACAGCTCTATTGACTGAGAACATGTCCTATATGAATATTCATTAAGTAATATCACCAGTAAAATGGCTTTAACAAATAATCATGAAAATCTGTGGTACTACAGATAGTTACTATAGCATACTGATCAATATTCATGAGGATTATTACATTTCAATATGTGCTATGAATATTCAAGAAGGTCTTGCATAATGAAAATGTGTGAGACGTATTACTTTAGCATACTCATCATATTCATTGATACATTTCAATATCAATATTCATAAGGGACAATGACCCCCCCCCCCAATCTTCTACTTATTTGCATCATACAAACAATACACTTATTAGTAAATACCAAACATCTGTACATATTTGTCTTGGCTATATACTAAATTTCAGACAGTAAATAAAACATCACTTTCAAGACAGAGTAGATAACATTTTAAATCCTTAATAGAACAATAAATAAAACAATCGATATACTAATTTTACTTTAATAATAATAATAATAATAATAGTAATTGGTATAATAATCAGTTGCCATTATCTACATCACTTTGGCGTGAAATATTTCATAAAACATTCAAAAAGATACTAAAATGCCGAGATACTGTAGAGTGAAGACACTGTTTATCTGAATTATATAAAACAACCATTATCTCATATTTAAACAAATCATGAACCCAATAATCTATGATCTCCCTCTCCCCCACCCCACTCCAACATTCTCAATTCTACTGTGCATACCCAACATTTTATTCTAATTCTGGTACTGCACTTGCTAAATAGTAGGAATGCAGTACATGCAAGAAAATGTAACAACAGACCCTCTGATAGCTTATAAACCTTACTGCTAAAAAATTATGAAGTTTACCTCCCAATACAAAATAAAGTTACAAATGTAATTTGTAAAAATATCCAGATATTTACAACATAAATTCCATTCCACACTGCTACATACCACAGTTTATGAACTGTATTTTCATAAACATATTTATGGCGGCAGTAACATAAAAAAAAGATTTCAGAGTTCACAGAGTGAAATTATAGGTGTAAATGTACATGGTATTGTATATTGTATAATATGTAGGTTTACGAAATATGAGGAGTGTCTTCAAAAGCTCCTAAAGGTTCTTTCAATTGATAGGATCAACTATGCATTAGTATACCAATTGGATGTCAAGAAATAATTCTGAAATATGATTTCAATTCTTGCATAAAGGTTATTACCCAGTGGCAAAAGTGTTAAAAATATTTACAAAGATAACAAGTAAACCTGAATGCCATTTTGGACGTGTTAGACCCCCTGTTGGCATATTGCTGGAGCCACCACTGCTTTCAATATATATTTCCTACGAGTTCCGAAGTGATTTTGTAGGTATCAATTAAAAATTAGGCATGTAGTGTACTACAATGTTTCAAAATTGCATACGATTAAGGCATCATGTATTATAATGTATCAAATTATATTTAGATGTGTTTATATGATCAACAAATATTGTTTTAAAATGTCACCATATATTTTAAAATGTATTTAGATGTGTTTAGGCATCACCGTGTATTAGATGTGTTTATGCATCACCATGTACGAAATAATTTATACCCTATTCAGACTACACTCTGTTGCGATCAGTTGCGATGTAAACTGTGGTAATCCAAAAGCTATTACTCCTGATCGCAATCAACCAGCGCATTCAGACCAACACAAACCAACTTTACATTTTAGGGCCTAAGCCTCCGGTGGCTAGGCCTATATTGACTGACCTCAGCCAAACTGTGCCGGTGGGATTCGTTGCGATCGGATTCCGTGGTAATCGGGAGTAATAAAGATTATAGCACACAATCGCAACGGGTAACAATTGCAATATCGATTGCTTATCGACTAATATTGGGGAGCTTTCACACACAATTTTACTTTGCGATTGGGTGTCGTAATTCCTATAACCAATCGAAATAAGATGCTAGTCTGAATAGGATGTTAGATTATGTTTAGACATCACCATGTATGTTCTAAAATGTGGTTTTATGTATTTAGACATTAATACCATATTAGTTGCTTCCAATGTATTTCTTTGTATTTAGCCAAATATTTCAACAATGTATTTATTCACTGACATAAACAATTTTTCCTCCAAATAATTTCACTAATCTATCTACCACCAATACTTAAAATAATTTATGAAACCTTTAATATTTTAATTGAGTGAAATCGTCTGAAAGTAGAAGTTATGCCCTATTAAAAATATGATAAACTTGTAGTATTTACTACTGTAATTTAGAACGATGGAAAAACTATGTTACATTTAAAATTATAATAATAGATCACTACTTGAATTACATTCAAATAAACTTTCTTTATCTTGACGTTTGTTGGACAAGTTGTGTATAATTTGGTTGTCAAATTCCGTGTGTTGTATGTTAGGGGACAGAATCTGAGGCTTGGTTCGACTCTCTGCTAGTCTGTAAAAAAATTGAAGATTTCAAAATGAGACAAATGCATAGACATTATATTTTAAAAATCAATCGAGACATCAATAAAACCAGAATATAATATACTCACAATTCATTTCATGAATGAATGAAAAAAAAAACAACAGTAGACAAACACTGATCATTAACAATGGTCATTAATTGCTGATTTATCCAGTAAATTTTCCATTAGGGCAGGGAACCAAAGCTATTAGATTTCTTAAATTAATATATAGTACAGTACAATATTCCTCATCTTCTATACTCTAAAAATCTATCATGCTTTCCTTAAATTAAATAATAAATATGTAGATAAGTGAACATAGTTGGCATTCTTCTGTTGTATTAGTTACATAGTGCTGTTGAGATAAGTAGAAGTACTGTAGGTGAGGATGAGGAATAACTGGGGTAGGGAAGGTAGAAGGGTTAATCAGCTTGAATAAAGACTGATAGGTTTAGCCTGAGTAGAGACTGGTGTGGGACCTTGGTTGGATAGAGGGAAATAAGACAAGATGATAGAGGTTTTGAAGAGAGTAGGAACACCAACTAGTGGGACTTGTGGTATAATGGATGTACAGTAATAGCTAATTTCCAGTTGTAAAGAAAGTAAGCAAATACAAATGCCAGTAATTAAGGGACTTAGATAATAAAGGAACTTCATACATTGGAATGGTGCTAAAGGCATTGGGATTAAGGTGAAAAAAGATGGGATGAGGAGATGTTAGTTTAATTCAGCTATCTGTTCAGTCATTTCACTTAAATTGACAATTAGTCAAAGTGTATTCATAGTAAATATTATCTGTAGAATAATATACTAAATCCCTATATATGTAAATAATAATGGTATACTATAATGTTACTAGCCCTGCAAATGTATATCAGCCCATTACTGTATGAATAATATTACAATTCTACTATATATTAACCCTGTCTGTATATGAACACTTCTATATTAGCCCTTATATTAACTTACTTGGAAAAACAATCATCAAGACTACTATCTGGAATATTCTACGAAAGAAAAAATCCATCTTTTAAGTTTTAAATCAATGGAAGCAATTTAAGAAAGACTGCCACCAGTGGTTGAGTAAATGAAATAGATGATTGATGTGAGCTATGCAATGCCCCATGCAGTTCTTTATTTGTTATAACAAATTATATATACAGTAATATTAAGTACCATGCATTGTTAAATTCCAAGAATTGACCAGATGAATATGAGTCAGTGTTCAATGAAAGCAGATGATGGTTTGTGAAAAATTCCATTGATATTGAAGTGGGATGTGGGATGGTTAATCAATTAAACGTATGGTAACATAAATTAGATTAGGATTATAATATATTGCAAGTACTGCAACTCTCTGAGATGGATATGTATGCTTTAAAAGGGAACTAGAAAAAAATGAAGGTACATTGGCGCATGAAAGCGAAAGTGGTAAGACGACTGGAGTAGCATCGTGATATGGCAATATTGCGTGTATTTCATTGTAAATTTTGTTCAAAATAAAAAGACAAGGAAATTGTTTGCACCTAAAATATTAGAAATGGTGCTAATGAAAAGAATAATAATCTTATTCCAAATGTATTCCAATATGCATTCAACTTATGAAAAAAAACAAAAACATTTAGTGCATTTAAAATATTAAATTTGAAGTTAGCAGCCCTCCAACATTCTTATAATAAGTCTATGTTTGAACCAAAATATCCATGCCAGTCACCAAGTATAATACTGTACTGAGAAAATAATAATTGGTCATAGCATTTTGAAGCTTCATATCCATCAATAATTGTCAAAAACAAGCAGTTTCACAAAGGCTAAGATTCAATTTAGTAATAAAAGTTCAGTTGAAATTTGTGTCACTTTAATGCACAAAACATCAAGATAAATATTAAGTGACATTGTTTTCAATATACTGATGTCAATGTACTATTACTGTGCCACAATTCACATCAAAGTTCAAGATATACTGTTTGTGTTGACCTAAAAAAAGCTTGAAGAATAAAATTAGACCACATTATTTGAATAGGTTGAGCTTTGTTATATATTTAAGTAAGTCAATGGTTCACACAATAAAAAAAAATGACAAAACATTCAATTTTGTGTATATTTTTGGTTATATTTTCAGTATTTCCACAATCAGTATATCTGTAATAAGTATGCCAGTAGAATAATAACAATTAATATAAAATTATAATATGTAATATTATAACATACTATACAGAGACAATGTAATATATTAATATAGAGATATAGAGAAGACATGGAAAATATTCGACAAACTCACAATAATGTACTAAATCATGTCCTATTGTTAATTATCATGGATAGTATTTTAAATTGTGAATGAAATAATGTAAAAACATGCAAGTGCTAAAGTAATTCAGGAATATAGACACATAAACGTGACAATGCTATATATGACACCTAGGTGCACATAATAATTGAAACAACAAAATTGTAGAATTACACATTTACAAAACATTTATTTTATTTTTAATTACATATAAACAATTGATACATCAGAAATTTTAAAAGGCCATGTATTATTTATAAGCAATTCTTGTAGGAATAGAAAATTTATCAAGGAAGTATATTGTTTCATATATATAATTTGTATTAATTTAATCAATTGTACAGCATAGTGCTGTGTATGAATCACAGAAGGTAAATAAACTTTTTGTCAATGATTTAGTCAGAAACATAGGAAGTGTTTCAATAAGTCCAATATTACTTGGGGAAGTTACTCATGTTTCTTACTTAAATGTTAAATGATTTTTTTAATATATAACATTATTCTGGCAATAAGAAAAATTGAATGGCAACATATGAGAAAGTCACCTGAGAGCAAGAATAGGGATTATCAATTTACTTTTGTACAGCTAAGTACCATTTTAAGAGTGAAACTTCAAAGGGATGCAGTTTAAGTTTAACCACTCTGAAGCTGTAGCCTGGTGGTTACGACGTTTGTCTTCAACCCCAGGGTCTTGGGTTCAATTCCTGTCATGGTAACATCATGACTAACCCTAACAGACTTATGAGACTTTTAGTTTATTGTTTGCATGTTGTCTGGTGAATGAATGCCACTCAGTTGATTAATTTTGCTAATTGGTATATCCCCTTAAGCTTAAAAATTAAATAAATAGAAATACATACCCAGTCATGTAATGTACTTGATGGAGTCACATGTGTTTCTGCCTGTGTTACTACGGTACCAGTGCTGTTATCCCGTCGCAGTTGTCCTGCCCTAGAATGGTTTAGACGAGGCGGTGGTGGAGGAGGGGGTAACGATGACGGTGCTGAGCTACATATCCTTGAGGATGATGGAACTGCAATATAAAAATTTGCTTTAATATACAGATATTTATTTAAGGGTTAATACACTATAAAGCAAACACAGACAAATGTCTTGCTCTCACGACTTTTTTACTGAAAGTCTAAAGCTTCTGGCCACACAACTTCTAATCTTCTTATAGCAAAAAAATGTATATCATACATTGACTTACCTCTTGGGTTCCTTGGTGGCGGTTCTATTACTACATTGGAGGACGGTAAAGGAGGTGATGCTCCTAGTGAACTTTCTACGTGCGATACGCCATTCTCTGATGAAGACTCTTCACCAGGTATACATAAAGGTGATGAGACATTTAGACTGGACACTGTAGGAGAACATCGAGAGAAGCCAAGTTAATTACAGATTTAGGAAACAAAGATGATAAACGATGGCTACACTTGGTATGATACACATAAAGTAGAAAAGAATTGCATTTTTATCATTTTATGAATTTATTATAGCTCCCACAGCCATCTGAGTCTCCATCGAACGTTGCATGCTGATATGGTGGCGTACTTCATCCGAAACTGTTTTTTGATTTTTTATAGTAGAGACCACCTGTAGCGTATAGTAAAGTAAATGCACCAGGTATCTATGAATGTTTCACAAATACCTGGTGTATTTACTTTATTGTACCAGGTACCTATGGTTCAGTTCATATACACACATTGGCACATTACTTGAGCTAATCGGTTCACAGTAATATTGATTATATTAGAGTGTGAGAATGAAATTTATAAACCTTTTAAATGCTATGTTATAATAGGTTTTAAATATCAACAATTTTTCCAACAACAAAGGTTATTTATAGAACATTTGGCTGTGGTTACAAGGTAGATAACATAGCATTGGACAACTCTTTGGAATTTGAGGTGAGAGATTCACTTTAAACAGCAATTTAGTTCAATGCTTTTTGAGAATTACTACTTCTGTCATATATTTCCTTTTCCGTTTACTTTAATTGTGTTTTTGTATTCAGAATGGTCAATAAATTTCCAAAGGAAAGTATGGTATACTTTGCACGATGCAGGTAGGACAACATTGAGGAGAAATGAAATGAAAATGGTTACTGTATTGTAGTAAATGCAACTGCTCAACTAAAATTTTAAACAAATTGTAATTAATCATTAACTACACAAACTGTTATTGCCAACTATTATAGATTCACAAACGTCAATGGAACAATCAAATCTGCAGGCTCTCTGACTAAAACGGATTACGATATCTACTGGTACCTGAGCAACCATAGCAAAATAACCACGTGAATTAAGCTACTTTGATTTTAATGCCGTCATGAATCTTTTTAGGGGTTCTACTGTCATTACTAGCAAAGATGAATGATATAGCGAGCCAGGTAATTAAGGTCATCAAAACAATTTTATGATGATTGCTTTGGATGTTTTTGAATGTTAAAATTTGCAACAATGCATAATGATGGATTGCTTACTTTGCACTTACACCCTCTTTATTAGGAAGACTTGCTTTATCTCCTAGCACCTGTTTTAATAGTTATAGGATTATACCTCAATGTTACATTATACATAGAGATGCGTATCATTTGGCAAGGTTCCAAGATTGTGCATAATGATTATTCGAAGATTATATACGTCGGTGTGCTGCTATGCAGAGTAGTTTGACGAGGTATATGATCCTGTACTACTAACGGAGTAAAGTTGGCAAGTTGTCAAGACTGCGTCAGGGTCGACTTGGCAGTTAGCCAAAAAAAAAAAATACTTTGAGTACAAGTCTGTTGTGAGAATTGTAAACAGCAGAGAGCAAGATTTATGCGACATTCATTCAGATTCAAGGACAAGGTAGAAGGCAGCACAAACAAAAAACCATTGACGAATCAAATATATAGTAAATACGTCAATAAAAACAAAACATCTGTGTCGGACACATTTTCATAATTAAGCATAGCCATCAGACATAGACGCATTCACAAATATAATAAATATGTTTAAAAATATAATAACCATATGCTTGTTGGTAAGCACACAATAGAATTGCAATATTTTAATCACCATGGAAGCTTGAGTAAACTAGCGGTAACCACATTTTACTGGAAGTGGAAATCAAATATGTCTGGTTTTTTTGTTTTTTTTTCAGGACTTACTACGCAAATATTAGCCCATGTTGTTTTTTTTAATTAGTAACCAATATTTTGAGGGAAGTTTTATATATAGTTATTAAAAGATTATTTTGAGCACAATTTTAGAGCAAAGTACATTGAAGGAAAATATTAACATTACTGTCAAATAAAAATAACGAGTAGAGCTACCGTCAGTGGTGGTGCCAGTGGGAGGCAGGGGAAATTTTCCTTCCCGTCGGACAGGTCTGCACCCCCGTCGTCTGATACTACGACTAGGTCGTCAGATTAAAAATTACAAAAATAATAATTTTCCTATCCAAATAACAATATTTTCATTGCTAATCCCTAATATTGTGGTCTGAAAGAAATTTTTTTGTTCCCGGCTGTCGACCGAGGCTCTAGTCGGCAAATTTCTGGTGCCACCGCTGGCTATAGTATTAGTTAAGATGCTTGATTTTAAACTACTGGGTTCAAATCCTGTGATACTGCACACCCTAAGGCTTATAAGAAAGTATCACTTCCCTGTATTTTTATTTTCAATTACGTCACAAAAGGGTAGACAGTACAACATGAGCTTGTAAGGAAGGTACGACTTGGCACATCAGGGACAGTGGCTGACAAAATATGATCAGATGGTGGTACAATGACACATCTAGCTGGTACAACATGTTACAAAATTAAAAAATAATAAACCACTTGCAGCAAGGAGGAAGCATTATAACGATAGCAATCATCTGCCCTATAAACAAATTATGGTACAATAAACCAAAACAAAACTATGTTACTATAAAGTAAAGCACTCTGTAGGCTTCCCTACTCGCTGCATTGATGGTAACCTAGTCTAGTAAAGAGATGGAAGCAGCAGTAGTAGTCCAGGAGTAGTGAAGCATTTTTAACAATTTCTTTGCTTTACTCTTTATTTGTTTGCATATGTGATTGATTTAAATATTTTTAAATTAAATAAAGTTTATTTTATAATTAAAATAAAATAATAACATATTAATAAAAAAACAAAAATATATTAAATAAAATAAAACCAAATAAAATATAATTTTTTTTGTTTCATTACCAATATTACCTTGTTCTTGTAATTCTAACATTTCTCCTGACGCAAGTTCTCTATTTGTTATATTGTTTGTATCTTGTTTTTCTTCCCACCTTTCATATGCTATGTTGAAAGAATGTGCTACAGTCAAAGCTATGGCTTCAGCCTGGATAAGATAAAATTTAAACAATTTCAAATAAATAAACATATCGGAAGACTTTAAATTTGCATTATCATGTAAACATTACATAAAAGTGGGTCACCATTAATACAGACATAAGCCTGAATAATTGATCATTATATTAAATACAGGATATGCTTTGTTGTTTATTCAATCAATACTAAATCTCTTTGTAAATAAGTAAAATAGATGAATATTATGGATAAAAAATTTTTTAGTTTTCAAGCTTATGCATACAAAATAAAGTCAACCAACATTTATTATTATCATGAAATAATAATCACATGTACATCATAATTTATGATTCACTAACATATGATACATTATATTTCTTATTAAGTTGGCAAAGAGCCAAAAACACAGTTATAGTACAGTACTTACAACTTTTCTCTTTGTACATAAGTATGCATGAAGTTCTAGTGCGTCATTGTAAGGATTTTGTGATATGAACCCGAACACTTTTTCATTTGTTTTGTCGGCTGTACAATATGAAATCCTATAAAATATATTAATAAAAAAATAAATTAATGTGATGACAACTGAGATACAAATACTAAATGAATTAACAAATATAGTGATTACTGATACTGATTGTCAAGCCACAACATCTACGAAATGAACTGAAAGACCAACCAAGTCATGCTTTCCTCCAATTGTGAATGTTTTCTGTTTGTTTTCTTCTCTTTTTTTGTTTCGTTTTTCTATTGTAAATTTTTAACCAGGACCCCAATGGAAACTAATCTTTTTGTTTGTATTAATTGGGTTGGATTTGAAATAAAAACAATCAAACAAGCCTGAATCATAACCAATATTTTTGAAACTCGGTCAATGCCTTCTAATCATGTTTAAAATATTTAAATAATACACTATAATTGTTAACTAATTTTGACTTCCAACTTCTACAAAATATGCATAATAAATCAAAGAAAACAACAATAATTTTAACAACTACAACAAAATAAAATTGATAATAATATATTACTGTATATCATGATTTTTTAAAATAAATTTCTACAAAATTAGAAGAAAAAATATTGTTTAATCTTGTATACACTGTAAATAAATAATTGATGATTTATAAAATCAAATTTCATTAATAAAAGCCTACTGTAGCCTACACTTTTAAAATAATACACAGCCATAACATATAAAGACTCAATAAAATATAAGAGGAAGAATATGTAATGAATTAATTCCTATTATACATAGTAAGGAAGGAAGAGTCTTGTATGTGGGCTTAGAACGTATGAGGTGTCAGGAAAAAGGCAGCAATTCTAACTGCTATCCCTGCCTCACAAAACACCTGTGACATCTCTTTACTTTATGATGCTCATACGATATATACACGCAAGGGACAAGTACTCATTCTCAATTCTGGTTTTTAAAAACAAAGATTGACACAGGCTCACATAACTAATAATCACATATACAGTATCCCCACATATGGCACCACCCCCTCCTCACACACACACACCCTCACACATACACACACACGTCCAAAGATCTCAACTCTTGCTTAGCAACAGAGTGACTGTTTTGACCAAATATTTAACACCATTGCTTAGCAAACATTTAACATTCAGATGAATTCCACTAATCAAATATCTTGCGCAGCATCTACAATCTCTCTCCTTTAGTGTTGCAAAATGTACTTAAGCCTCCTAACAGAATTTTATTGCAGAAATGAATAGAAAAGTGGTAAATTTAGAATGCTAGCATTTCCCCTGATCAGACAAGCACAGACCCTGTGTCTTCAGATACTACTAAAGGTTTTTGACTAAAAATAATAGTTAATTTAGTGATTTAACCCATCCAAGAGTTCTTCCTCTAGACCATAGCCTACATTAAATATTGTTATTTTTATTTAATAGTTTGTGTGCTGGTACCAGGAATTGGAAGTTAAACCTGTAATACTGGTATGTAAAATGACATAAGTACTAATGTTGTTAACGTTAAAATTCTGATACAATGTAAATGACATCATCATAATAATATCAAGAATCTAAGGTAAAAGCTAACTTACAAAGGCAAAAAAAAAACACTTGATGTTGCTGAGACTTCTCAACAAATAATGTAATTGCTGCGAAGTAGCCAATTCATATTCTTGACAGCAATTTGACCTCTGAAAGGTCATTGTTTGTCTAAAAACAAGGGCCTAAACGACTGAAAAGCGGAGTTTCCTTCTTTCGTTCTGCCGGGTAAAATCAATTACTTTAGGTGACGTTTGTAGACTAACCTACTCGTACCAACGTCTGCATGTCGCGCTAGCCTTATCCTACTCTAGGCCTAGACTAGCTAGGATGGTATAGGCCTAGCCTTGAAGGGACGAAGGTCCCAATGAAAAACAATGTCGCTCTTTGATAGCTAACTTTGTCTATTTAACATCACAATAATTCATTATTAGACCTATAGTTGTTTTTTGAATTGTACTCCACAAATCTCAGCCGATACCTCGCACAACTCGTTAACGTCTCTATCTATTGTCGTGGACATCATGGCTCGCTG